ATATGTTGAGTTATTCGGGGCTTCGATTTTCGTCAAATCGGCCAGGATTCGGTGTAGAGCGTGCAGATAAGGACCTGAATAAGGCATGCATTTTTTTCTTGCGGGATTGAGTTCCTAGCATCCACATCCAGCCGCTGTTAGAAGCACTGATGCGGGAAAAAGAGCCGCAAAACTTGTTCTGAGAGATTTACATTGAAATTCTGAAACACAGCATGATATATGAGGGAAAATCGTTTCGCAAAACAAATAATTGGCCAACGCACGGGCTGCCCGCGCGAAGATACGTTTTTTGCATAGTTCCCCGCAGTTTTTGTTGCTACCAGCACCGGTTTTTCCGACAGATGCTTCTAGATAAACAAATTAAGACTGGCCGCTTGAACTGTCAGGAAACACCCCTTAAAATCTCAGCTTTCTAGCTTTCCTGATTCCTGAGTTAGTAATTTACTCGAAAAAAATTTTCGCGGGTCCATACGTGGGTATCACGCACGCTCGACGCCTGGGTTCGAGTTCGTTGAGATTTACGTAGGCAGGTAACTTCCCTGTAAAGTTTCAGCTTTCTGACTTTTCTGATTCCCGAGCTAGCGACTTACCCGCGAAAAACTTTCACGGGCACGTACGTGGTTACCACGCGTACCCAGGAACTGGTTTGAAGCGCATTAAGACTTATGTGGACAGGAAACGTCCCTGCAAAATTTCAGCTTTCTGGCTTTCCTGATTTCCGAATTAGCGATTCACCCGCGAAAAACTTTCACGAGCTCGTACGTGGGTACGACGTGGGTAAGAGCGCCCATTCCGGAAATGGGGGCCCGTACAAGCATGTAGATTAAGTTCCCCAAGTTTCAGTCCCGTAGCTTTTATGGGCCTCGAGATGAAAAATCGGTACAGACGCGCAGCGCACACACAGATACACACACACACACAGAGACAACCTCTCGTCATTATGCGTCTTCTACATTGCATAGCTGCAAAAAACGCATAAAAATTACTAACTGATAGTATTAGTGGTACTCTTTTTTGATCAGCTCTTGTTTCATCGACGCGTTTCTTCTC